CTAGCCACTTGGACGTTCATTCAACTCTAGCCACTTGGACGTTCATTTAGCCACTTGGACGTTCATTCAACTCTAGCCACTTGGACGTTCATTCAACTCTAGCCACTTGGACGTTTCATTCAACTCTAGCCACTTGGACGTTCATTTAACTTGGACGTTCATTCAACTCTAGCCACTTGGACGTTCATTCAAGCCACTTGGACGTTCATTCAACTCTAGCCACTTGGACGTTCATTCAACTCTAGCCACTTGGACGTTCATTCAACTCTAGCCACTTGGGCGTTCATTCAACACTAGCCACTTGGACGTTCATTCAACTCTAGCCACTTGGACGTTCATTCAACTCTAGCCACTTGGACGTTCATTCAGCCACTTGGACGTTCATTCAACTCTAGCCACTTGGACGTTCATTCAACTCTAGCCACTTGGACGTTCATTCAACTCTAGCCACTTGGACGTTCATTCAACACTAGCCACTTGGACGTTCATTCAACTCTAGCCACTTGGACGTTCATTCAACACTAGCCACTTGGACGTTCATTCAACACTAGCCACTTGGACGTTCATTCAACTCTAGCCACTTGACGTTCATTCAACACTAGCCACTTGACGTTCATTCAACTTGGACGTTCATTCAACTTAGCCACTTGGACGTTCATTCAACACTAGCCACTTGGACGTTCATTCAACTCTAGCCACTTGGACGTTCATTCAACTCTAGCCACTTGGACGTTCATCAGCCACTACGTTCATTCAACTCTAGCCACTTGGACGTTCATTCAACTCTAGCCACTTGGACGTTCATTCAACCTAGCCACTTGGACGTTCATTCAACACTAGCCACTTGGACGTTCATTCAACTCTAGCCACTTGGACGTTCATTCAACACTAGCCACTTGGACGTTCATTCAACTCTAGCCACTTGGACGTTCATTCAACACTAGCCACTTGGACGTTCATTCAACTCTAGCCACTTGGACGTTCATTCAACTCAGCCACTTGGACGTTCATTCAACTCTAGCCACTTGGACGTTCATTCATAGCCACTTGCAATTCACTCTAGCCACTTGGACGTTCATTCAACACTAGCCACTTGGACGTTCATTCAACACTAGCCACTTGGTTCATTCAACTCTAGCCACTTGGACGTTCATTCAACACTAGCCACTTGGACGTTCATTCAACTCTAGCCACTTGGACGTTCATTCAACTCTAGCCAACGTTCATTCAACTCTAGCCACTTGGACGTTCATTCAACACTAGCCACTTGGACGTTCATTCAACACTAGCCACTTGGACGTTCATTCAACTCTAGCCACTTGGACGTTCATTCAACTCTAGCCACTTGGACGTTCATTCAACTCTAGCCACTTGGACGTTCATTCAACTCTAGCCACTTGGACGTTCATTCAGCCACTTGGGTTCATTCACTAGCCACTTGGACGTTCATTCAACTCTAGCCACTTGGACGGGACGTTCATTCAACACTAGCCACTTGGACGTTCATTCAACTCTAGCCACTTGGACGTTCATTCAACTCTAGCCACTTGGACGTTCATTCAACTCTAGCCACTTGGACGTTCATAACTCTAGCCACTTGGACGTTCATTCAACTCTAGCCACTTGGACGTTCATTCAAGCCACTTGGACGTTCATTCAACTCTAGCCACTTGGACGTTCATTCAACTCTAGCCACTTGGACGTTCATTCAACACTAGCCACTTGGACGTTCATTCAAACTAGCCACTTGGACGTTCATTCAACACTAGCCACTTGGACGTTCATTCAACTCTAGCCACTTGGACGTTCATTCAACTCTAGCACTTGGACGTTCATTCAACTCTAGGACGTTCATTCAACTCTAGCCACTTGGACGTTCATTCAACTCTAGCCACTTGGACGTTCATTCAACACTAGCCACTTGGACGTTCATTCAACTCTAGCCACTTGGACGTTCATTCAACTCTAGCCACTTGGACGTTCATTCAACTCTAGCCACTTGGACGTTCATTCAACTCTAGCCACTTGGACGTTCATTCAACTCTAGCCACTTGGACGTTCATTCAACACTAGGGACGTTCATTCAACACTAGCCACTTGGACGTTCATTCAACACTAGCCACTTGGACGTTCATTCAACACTAGCCACTTGGACGTTCATTCAACTCTAGCCACTTGGACGTTCATTCAACTCTAGCCACTTGGACGTTCATTCAACACTAGCCACTTGGACGTTGCCACTTGGACGTTCATTCAACTCTAGCCACTTGGACGTTCATTCAACTCTAGCCACTTGGACGTTCATTCAACACTAGCCACTTGACGTGTTGGACGTTCATTCAACTCTAGCCACGTTGCCACTTGGACGTTCATTCAACTCTAGCCACTTGGACGTTCATTCAACTCTAGCCACTTGGACGTTCAGCCACTTGACGTTCATTCAACATAGCCACTTGGACGTTCATTCAACTCTAGCCACTTGGACGTTCAACTCTAGCCACTTGGACGTTCATTCAACACTAGCCACTTGGACGTTCATTCAACTCTAGCCACTTGGACGTTCATTCAACACTAGCCACTTGGACGTTCATTCAACACTAGCCACTTGGACGTTCATTCAACACTAGCCACTTGGACGTTCATTCAACTCTAGCCACTTGGACGTTCATTCAACTCTAGCCACTTGGACGTTCATTCAACACTTTGGACGTTCATTCAACTCTAGCCACTTGGACGTTCATTCAACTCTAGCCACTTGGACGTTCATTCAACTCTAGCCACTTGGACGTTCATTCAACTCTAGCCACTTGGACGTTCATTCAACTCTAGCCACTTGGACGTTCATTCAACACTAGCCACTTGGACGTTCATTCAACTCTAGCCACTTGGACGTTCATTCAACTCTAGCCACTTGGACGTTCATTCAACAACTTGGACGTTCATTCAACTCTAGCCACTTGACGTTCATTCAACACTAGCCACTTGGACGTTCATTCAACTCTAGCACTTGGACGTTGGCCACTTGTTCATTCAACTCTAGCCACTTGGACGTTCATTCAACTCTAGCCACTTGGACGTTCATTCATAGCCACTTGGACGTTCATTCAACACTAGCCACTTTGGACGTTCATTCAACTCTAGCCACTTGGACGTTCATTCAACTCTAGCCACTTGGACGTTCATTCAACACTAGCCACTTGGACGTTCATTCAAGGACGTTCATTCAAACACTAGCCACTTGGACGTTCATTCAACACTAGCCACTTGGACGTTCATTCAACTCTAGCCACTTGGACGTCATTCAACTCTAGCCACTTGGACGTTCATTCAACACTAGCCACTTGCCACTTGGACGTTCATTCAACCTAGCCACTTGGACGTTCATTCAACTCTAGCCACTTGGACGTTATTCAAACTCTGTTGGACGTTCAATCAACACTAGCCACTTGGGACGTTCATTCAACACTAGCCACTTGGACGTTCATTAAACTCACCACCAACTCTAGCCACTTGGACGTTCATTCAACCTAGCCACTTGGACGTTCATTCAACTCTACCACTTGGACGTTCATTCACTCTAGCATTGGACGTTCATTCAGCACTAGTCCACTTGGGACGTTCCACTAGCCACTTGGACGTTCATTCACTCTAGCCACTTGGACGTTCATTCAACTCTAGCCACTTGGGCGTTCATTCAACACTAGCC